AAGACATCCAGAGGTGTACGGCTCTGGAGGACTTCGGTGCGTGTGTGTGTTGGGCGGGGGTGGGTGGGAGGGAAGGGGGGTTGTAGCACACAACCCTCAGATTCAGGAGGGGGGAGTAAGAGGTAGGGGGTAAGAGGTATGAGGTAGGGGGTAGGAGGTATGAGGTATGAGGTAGGGGGTAGGAGGTTAGGGAGCGGCAGACAATTACACAAAGAGGAGAGGAAATAAACCCTAAGCCCCTGGCCATTAAGGTGATCGGGAAATTGATGTGAGCTATGGATTTGAAACAGCAGTAGCTGCAGCAGCAACAGCAGTAGTCGTAGTAGTAGTAGTAGTAGTCGTAGTTAAAAAAGTAGTAGTAGCAGCAACTGCAGCACTCTCCATTAACCCTGTCATGCCGTACGTCATGCACAATACACCAGCACGCAACACGTACCATCCTGCCTAGGAGATCCGTTGCCGTACGTGTCCGGGGGTTCCAAGATGCCAAAGGGCGGCACCTTTTCGAGGCTCGATAGCTCGTCTGTACGACACCCAGCGTGGGTTGGACGAATGGAAAGTTTATACGGAGAAGGTACGGATTAAAACGGTACGGACGGTTGGTGCGGTTAGTGCTTGTAAGAGTACGACCGGGTGGTGGTGATGTGGAAGAAGAGCGAGCGAAACACACACGTTTTATGGGGGGAAATGAGGGGGGAAGGGGAGGGGGATGGTGTGAGGCGACAGCAGGGCGGAGGCTTCATGCAATACACGCGAAGGTGCTCGGGGACGGCGTATCACCTCAAGTGCCCTCCATCCCCCCCCCCCGACCCGCGCGTGTCCTTGTGGAAGGGGAAAATGTCTTCTGGATAGAGAAAAAAAACACAATTCAAAAATTCATTGCCGTTTTTTTCCCTCCTGCACCCATCCTTTTCCCCCATGCCTTTTGTTGGTATTGCCGTCACGCACTGCCGTACTGCCCACAATGTTTTCGTACTGTCGTACGCACCTAGGTGGAGGAATCTCATGTTACTGTTGTTGTCGTCAACCACAGGTACATAGCACCGCTTTCCTGCGAAAACGTCGGATGGATAGAAGCTGGGCTTTTTGTATAGGCACTGCTGCGCCCTAGGAAATCCATCCAAGGAAGCAGGGCTGAGCAATAAAATCGTCAGGAGCTTGAGGCGCCCTACTTTGGTGTCCAGAGAACGGGCAAAGCTGGATCCTAGCTGGGCTTTGCGGGCAGCCGTACTAGCTTGCCGTACGGTACTACCTTGCCGCATTGCGTCCTTGAGGATTTCTGTTGTGTCCACCTCCCGAAGCTTTGCACAGTGGAGGTATATGCCGATATTCTTCGCCTCAGTGTAAGGGCGCAACCCGAGCACATGCGCAGCAATGCGGGCGCCTGCGTCCATGAATTGTATGGCCAGGCTCTGTGAACGGAGCCGTGAACGGGGCCGTAAAACCATGACAAATATCGGCTGTCAACGCACTCTCATCCGCCATTTGTTCATCTGTGAGCGCTCTGAGCCTTTGCTTAATGTCCTTCCGTGCCTGCTGTTTAAGCTCGCGGAATTCTTTCGCCATCGTAGTTGCAGCTGACGTGCAATATGCCGTTAATGTTTCAAAGCGATGAACGTTATGTCGGACTAAACACCTGCTTGATATGGACCGCAGGGGGCCGCCTAAGCCGGCATGCATGATGAGCTTATGAATTGCAGGAAGTCATATTTTTGAAGCGAAATCAAAGCCTACCATCAAGACGCTTTGGTGGAGGACATAAAGCTGAGCTGCGTCGTGCGTGAATTTATCAACTGAAACGTGCACGAACGGTTCTAACGATATCGACAGCTGCAGTCACTGCAGTGCAGTGCTTCACGCTGTTGCACGAGAGCCTCGGCGCCTGCACTTTGCAAGCGTAAGAGAGGTTGGAAGCGTTATATGTTTTGAACGTTGCGCCTACCTAAGATCCCAGGATTCCAACAGCCGCAATCCCCACAATAGGGGTCCCCGAATGTGCAGATTTCCTAACCGCATCTGTGCGCTTAGTTTCTAATGAAAATTCGACAGCAGGGCCGGCTGTGAATCAGGTAAGGCCCTTCACATTACGCGAACCACATTGGTTTCCATTTGAATTTCCGAGAATTACAAAAATCCGAGTAAAGACTCGGACGAAATGTAAGTACCGTACACAACCGGCGACATGTGCGAGAGATGCTTTTAGGAGCCAGCATAGTTGCGTACACAGAAGACAAAACATCAATACAAAGATAACCATTTATACTCGTTAGCACACGCAACAGATGAAGACACCACAGCCAAAAGACCTGGGACATCCCTGCGAACCAATTCAACACGAAAAAGTTTAGAAGCATGCACGCAGGCACACCCTTACCGCACACGCAGGTAGCCGGACCGCACACTAAACGGAACACGTTGGTTAAAATACAGTTAACCATGCACTCCATGCCAGCCGTACACCCCACGCAGCAACCCTTTCCTCCCCCTCGTCTTCTCACCAAAGCACCTCTCAGACGCTCTCACACCACTACTAAGCATGACTAGACCACCTCCTCAAACATACAAGAGACGCACAATCGCAGATGAATAAACATACATATGTACGTACGTTCACACTCCTCCCTTCCCTCCGCTTCCTCTCATGCCCAGGCCGCCATGAGAATCCGTGTGCAATCCCCTCATTGATTTGAGGCCCCCTCCCCCCCCGAGCTCTCAAAGAGGGGGAGGGGGAGGGAGGGTGAAACACACGCCGTTCTCTTCTTAATTCGTGATCATCACCACATCATCAACATCAACATTAAAAACAGGATCCGCACTAGCCATACCACCAACAGCACCACCGGCACCAGCTACACCGGCAGCAGCAGCAGCGTTGGAGAGTCCAGCGGAGAAATCCCAAGAGAGACTGGTCACCAAACCAGCATCACACCCTCAAGATGTTATGGTGGTGTTATTGTTGTTGTCGTTCTCTATTCTTGGTACTTACTTCCATAAAACAACAATACAGACAGACAGACAGACAGACAGACGGACAGACAGACACACACAATACGCAGTCTCAGTTCATGGAGATACATGCACACGCAGAGGGCTGCCGTATGCGAGCGCCCGGGCAGTGCCTAATAACAGCCTAACAGCCTAAGGCTAAGCTACCAGTACCCAAATCCCTCCACCCTCCAAGCCTCCTACAAGTCCGCCTGCCCTCTGAACCCCCTGGACCACCACTTTTTGTGGCTCTCTAACTCTACCTGGCTGACATGGAGAAAACATTGCTAAAACTAAAACCCTAAAACCTGGGAACAAATGCCAACCTATAATTATATGTTACAAAAACATCAACTCTTGAAAACCTTATTGAGGATACTGACGGCTTTTTCAAAAGTTGATTTCTGATTTAGAGCCGCTAGCCCCTTAACCCGATAACCCAGCTACTCCCCGCGCTCTGTGTATGTGTGTGTGTTTGTATGTGCGTGTGTCTCTTCCTTTATCTCTTCGACAGATTCTCTGACAGATGCACATACAAGCACACACCTATGTGCACAGGCACCTCGGTGACGTTCATGCCTGAACAAGCAATCGTGCGGAAGTCAGAATTAACCGGCATTCACGCCACGGGTCCCCTCCCCCCCCCCCAAACCCCCAAACCCCCACCCACACAAAGGACTTAACCCCCAGCCACCACAACCCCCGGGGGAAACCCTTCCCCGCCCATTACAGCTGCCCTCTCCCTTTCCCTCACCCCCTCCCTTTCTCTCCCCCACAAAGACTGTTGGAAAAGAGGCCGTCTCCACCCCTATCCTAATGCACCATGTACATGATCAACCAACTAACCAACTAATCAACTAACCAACTGATAATAACCTGGTAACGGTGGAGATGACCGAGCATAGTTTAACTAACAACTAACAAACCAAATCGGAGTACGTATCAGATTCCGAAACCATATCTCTCCCTCTCTTCTTCTCCCTCGACGGGCTGCTCGGGGATCGAGCCGCAACTCGTTGCGTGCGATTGCATGGAGGGGTGAAGGGGCAGCCCGGAGGGGGGGGACGGAAGGAGGGAGGAGCCAAAATTGGACTGGCAGCACCTGCCCCCGAACTTTCTGATCTTAAAGAACCCAAACGCGAAGAAGAAGAAGAAGAATCCGCCACGTACGGCACAGACGGTGATGCTAACGCCGTGCCACGCTAGGAGCCCCCCCCACCGGGACGCCACTCCCGCGACAAGGGCCGTGCACCCCCGCCGCTCCCCGACATACCCCCCAGCAACCCAGCTGCCCCCAGCAAACTCGCGCGGACGCCGCCGCGGCTGACACTGCCAGGGCGCTGCTGCTGCTGCTGCTGCTGCTGGCGGAACACACCTCCCCCGTTGCCGCTGGTTTGCGCGTAATACTTGCACAGCATTATGTTGTTTAGGCGAGGCGTCTCGAAAAGGTTGAGGTACCTGCGGGCGCACGTGTGCGCGCGCGTGTGTGTATGCGTGCGGCCGATGGAAGGTATGATGGTAAAAAGGCGGGGACAGCGGGGACAGCGGGGGAAGGGAAGGGTTTTTTGCCGAAGGCTGTGGTAGCGCGGGAGGCGAAGACACCTAACATCCCAACCAGGAGGTAGACCCAAAAATTCCATTTCCTAGCATCTCCTGAGCTCTTGAGCGGACAAAGCAGAGGGTCATGCTGCTACCACAGCGCGGGCAATGTGACGAACGACAAGAAGAGGGTAGCTGGCCCCAAGGGAGGGAGGGGGCCACAACGACCACCGTCCCTGAAAGATTGGCGAAAGATTGGTGTTGGCGGAGCAGCAGCAGCAGCAGCAGCACTAGCAGGTGTTACTAGGTGCTATGTACGATAGCCTTCACGGCTTGCTGTACAGTTGCGTTCCAGGTGCCGGGTACGACAGGGCGAGGCGGACCGGGGCTGCCAAGCTAGGGCTTACACTACTGAAGAAATGGCAAGCCGTACGGCTGCCGTACGTAACTTAAGTCAGAGACTATACTCGCTTCACTCCTTTATACTATACTCCGCATATAAGCTACAATGTTTGCAAGATGTGTGCAGATGTGTGTATGTCTGTATATGTGTGTATGTGTGCATATGTGTGCATGTCTGTATATGTGTGTATGTCTGTATATGTGTGAGCGTGTGTATGGGGGGTTCCGTATGGAAGACGTGGGGACGCTTGCACTGCTAAACATCAACTTTTCAGTGGTCCCGACGTTTTGCCATCATTCTAATGATGCTAACCGCTTTTTCCCCAGTACGGCGTAAGTTAGTTAGCACCACACAAATGTCTAACTGAATCGGCTTTTGGTTTTGGATTACGTCAGAGCTACTGTTTCTGCTCTACTCGGTTGCCTATCCAAGAACCAAGACATGTAAATTACGCCATCAACCGCTAACTGCCAACTGCCAACCTCCATACCTTCATTCCCCCAACCGCAATAACCTCCTCATTCTCTAAAACTACACTCTTCTTCACCAAGTCTGCGTTTATAACTCCTAAATATTTACACTCACCACCCAACCATACAACCACTCGCCACCCTTTCCCACAACACAACTCTTCCGTACATCCCCATATACACACACACACACACTCAACACTGCCACATGCACGCACGCACAAACACACATACCTGGCGGGGTCCTCTTCACATGGAAAAACACGTTCCCAGCTACCCTTCCTAGCCATCTCCGCCTCCGCCTCCAACACAACCTCAGGAAGCTCCGCCGGGTTTAGAGCTGCAGAGTACGACAGCGTACGACAATAAACGTGTCGTCATGACAACAGCATGTACAACGGGCACCAAACAGCGGCAGCGTGTAAGCACGACAGTACGACATGTACGGGATGAGCAAGTACAACAACGATGACGATGGCGCAAATCGGGTTTTTGTGTTTGTTTCGTCCAGGATCCGATTCTGGCGCTGTCGTACCCTGACACACACAAACGCACATCTGCCTTCGGTTAAAAGATTAGCGGAAAAAACCCTAACCCTGAGACCCACCGGTGAAGTCAATGGAATCTAGCTCATGCAGAGATTTAGGTTGCACCACCGCATTGCTGCCAGGACCACCGCCGCCGCCGCCGCCGCCGCCGCCGCTGGCAGCTGAGGTTGACTGCCCAAAGGAAGGCTGTGCGCCCAGCAGGCTGTTGGGAGTTGGAGGAGCTTCCTCGTCAGCAGCGGCGGCGGCGGCGCCGCCAGCGGCCGTACTGCGTGCCGTGGGGTTGGTTGCCGCTATCGGAAGCCCCGTCAGACGCGCCTGGCGCTTCGCCTCCGCTGCTTTCTCGTATACCTACAGACGTACACGGCATATGTTGTAGTGTGACGTACCCCGCAGAGGCCCCCTCGGAGGCGGGGGGGGAAACCCCCGGCAGGGGCTGGGCAAGGGAGGGAAGGTGAGAGGGGGGACAATGGCCCCGGGAGGACATCCCCGTGCCTTGTGTTGCATTTTTTCTGTGTTTGTGTGTGTATGTGTGTATGTGTGTATGTGTGTATGTGAGTATGTGAGTGAGTGTGAATGATTATGTGTGTATGTGTGTGTGAGTGTGTGTATGTGTGTATGCATGTGTGTGTGTGTGATTTTCTAACCTGGACTGTTACGTGGTCCTAGCGGTCCTAATCACGTCAAACGTCGGCGTCAGGACAGATAATGGCCGCTGCAGTAGCAGCAGTAGCAGCAGCAGCAGTAGCGGTCCGCCAATGTCGAGTCGCCACCATCCCTAAGGCGCCTTCCCCCCACAAACACATACACAGAAACACATTTCTTTTCCCCCCCCACCCGCGTCACAGCCATGTACTAGCGCCAATGCTACACAAACGCCACATTTCATAATTCTTTCCTTTTGCATTACCCCACCCCTTCCCAACCCCTCTAATCCTCAAGATCTTGTCCAACACGACAAGGTAATGTACGGCACGGCACGTCGTACCTCCACGTCATACGGCACAGGCCCAATAAGGTGCATGAGCTCCGAAACCATGGAGCACTTGACCCTCATATCCAGTCCGCTGTCAGCCGCCAGGGAGGGGCAGGTGTTGGCCTCGATGAGCCAGGCACGGAAAACATCCGTTAGCATGATGTCGAAACCCCACACCTACAAGATAAAAATAAAATGTCAGTAAAATGTGAATACAAAATGCCATTTCAAAATGTAAATATAAAATGTAAATATAATGTAAATATAATGTAAATATAAAATGTGAACATAGAATTTAAATAAAACATGTAAGTAAAATGTAAGTAAATCCAATTAAATTGAATTGGAGGAAATGTGGCGAGAGTGCGGTAGGAGGAGCGGGCGGGGCGGGGATCATCGTACGGAAATGCCCCCCGAGAAACAGAGGGAGGAGAAGGAAGGAAGAAAGAAAGGAAACCCGGCCCTGGTGGGGGGACAGTGTTGGGCCCCTCACCTCAAAGCAGTTGTTGCGGTGCGGTACCTTCATTTTAAACTCGGTGTTCATCCTCGGCTCCGCGGCTATCACGGCCGCCGCCACGATATCACACACCTGTAGGGGGTTGGGGGAGGAGTGGAGGTTGGAGATGGGGGTGGTGGGGGATGGGGATGGGGATGGGGAGAACGCCGCTGTGTTTTGGGCTGGTGGTTTTTGGGTGCCGGTGGCGGTAGTAAGGAGAATGGTAAGTGGGGTGCAAAGGTGAACTTTTTAATGCAAGACAAAATTAACTAAAACAATCACATTTCATCATAACTGCAAATGACATCGCCAAAATTGACATGGTATCCGTGACGGGGTGGTTTCGGAGCCGGGTGGAAAAGGAGGCGAGGAGGCGGTGTTACGGAAGAGACACGATATCTTCCCCGCACCGCGACGCACAAACCCACACCACCTGCCCTTCCCACCCCCACGTCCCCCCCACCTGCCTCCACACCACACCCCAGCCGGGCCCTATGCCCCGGCTCTCCAGGAAGTGTCTTAGCCCGGACAAACTCCACTTGCTGCCCTCACACTCGGTCGCGGGGTCGACAGGGTGACTACTGCCGCTGCTGCTGCTACTGCCGCTGCTGTAGTGCTGCTGTTGCTGCTGCTGCTGATGATGGGGAGGAGGAGGAGGAGGAGAAGAGGAAGGGTTTGCGGAGAAGGCGCAGGAGGAAGAGGAGGCCAGGGAGGAGGAGGGGGGCGGCGGCGGCGCCGCCGCCACTGGCGCAGCGCCAACGGTGGCGGCGGAGGCTTCGTCCCCGCCGCTGTTACATGCGCCTTCCGGCACCGCCGGTTCTTGTTGTTCTGGTTGTGGTTGAGGCGGTTGGTGGGGTTGCGGCAGTAGCGCTTGTGTTTTAACGAACTTGGCGGACTTTTTATTGACCGAGTAGTTGGTGAGGTGCACGCAGCGTTTGCTGCATGGGAAAGGAGGGGGGGAGGGCTTGCGGAGCAAGTGGGGGACGACGAACCACGACGAACGAGTGAAGCTGATGGCAAGGGTGGCCTGATACAGCAGAAGTAAGGAAGCAACAACTAACCAGTTGCGGCTTGTGAAGAAGAAGGCGTCTTCGCGTTGATGTTAGTAGTAGTCATGAAAAGATAGCGGAAAACTACCTACCTAGCCGCAAAGTCTAAAATAAAATGCGAAAAGGATACAAGAAAAAACATCTCGTAGTACTCTAAAGATTCTTAAGGTAAATGCAAAAGCGGCGGAGAGCTAAACACACCGTAACAGCTGACATGAGTTGAAGGAAAGATGTGACGTTAGCTGAGAAAACCATTTTACGCTGGCCTGGCGCTGGAAGTATGGAGCAAAAGAAAACACTGGCTGGTTGGCTCACTGCTAATAAGCTTTCTAGTAAACATGCAAGTGCTCCTCCCAAGCCCACCCACCCACCTAACACGCCCCAAGCAAGTTGGGGGGGGGGGGTAAAGAGATGTGGCAGATGTACGACACGCTGGAGCTTCCCCTTCCTTTCCCGCTTCCCCCCCTCCCCCCTACCCCTCTCACGTCAAATCGGCCTTGTCCGCGGAGTACGGCTCCGTAGCGAGTCGTGCAAGCCCGTCCGGGAAGACGTACAGCCGCAGGGGGTCGAGACACGTGGCGGCCGCATACACACGCATGTCGAACTTGAACCTGTACGACAGGTTTTTTGAGGGGGCCAGTCGCTCAGGAGGGGGGAAAACCGCTGTCGTACAACCTTGCCAGCCCCCTCCGCTCGCGATGCTCCCGGCTTCTTCTCCCCCTTTGTCAAACCCGCACCTAGCCATTTCCCCCCTTCCCTCATTGCCGTCCCCCCCCACCCCCTCCTCGCGCCCCCACGCCCCTATTTGTGTGTGTTTTTCTGATTTCCTCCCGCCCCCCTTTCCCCCCCAAGCTCTCACCCGTTAAGTAGCAGGGGGTTAGCGATGTAATGCTGTACGAGCATGTCCTTGGCATCGCGTGATATGGCATCAGGCCGGGTGACCATCCGAATACCGCGACCCCGCGACGAGTTCGTTGGCTGGACGTTGAGGTAGTTGGGTTGGTTTCGGGGTGGTTAGCAACGAAACGGAGGAATAATGTGAGACTGCGAGGAGAAAAAGACTGAATCATTGTTGTATCGATCCCGCATACCTCTCCCCCACCCCCTGCCCCTGCTGCCCCAGGGAATCCACATCGCCCGGCAGCACCCCACTGGGACACCCACTGCTTGCAACTATATACTCACACTCCGGAGGCGACCGCCATTTTTTACCCTAAAACCCTGAAAAACCTACCCACACTCGTACTATGCCGTACCTTTTGGATGTACAACCGGTCCGGAAACCGTTCCACGTCAGCCTTGAACTCTTCGTAGTCGCGTGGCATGATGTAAAACCGGGGGACGATGTCAAAGGCCTCGGCGGCTGGGCCACGTGCACGGCGGCGGGCGTTATACACATTGCGGTACAGGTGTCCCTTGTGGCCTAACTCCCACGTGCCTGGAGTGTTGGCAGTTGGCAGTTGGGAGTTGGGGGTTGGCAGTTGGGGGTTGGCAGTTGGGGGTTAAGCGGGGTTTGGGCATCGAAGAGGAAAGGAGTTCAGGGACTCTGCCCTACGATCATGGTATGAATGCCAAGGACAGGGGAAGTTGTGTATGTGCCGTACATTCCTGCAACCCGCGCCGTCCCCGCCAGCACCCGGCCACTTCCCCTCTCCAACGCACCAACGCAAACAAACGTACGGCATTTTCGGTTGTTCCTGGGGGTTGTGTCCTCGACTTCAACGCTTTTAACAGAAAATCATCGTTTCATGCCATGCAAGTACAAGGATAAAACTTTTATAAGCACGAAAGAAATATTATAGGCGGGTGTTTGCGAGGCATACACCGTGCCTGGCACGTTTTCCCCCCCCCAAAGTTAACCCCAAGCTTACCGGGAAAATGGTTGACCCTCTGAAAGCTGTGTAACTTGGCCAGCGCCGGAGCATCTAGAATACCCCCCCATTGTACGATCCACCGCTTGCCCTTGCGTGTCGGCCGTAACCCCGCCTCCCGGAATGCCGTACGTACGGGCGTGTTGGCCACGCCGCCGTACTTGACGTACAGCGTGGGGCTCAGCAGCGGCTGTAGCCCGCGGGCGTGCTTTTCCGCCGCCGACTTCACGAAAGCGATGGTGGGGCACGTGCCGGGGAAAGCGGGCGGCTGAATGTACGGAAACGCGCGGCCCTTTTCATCGGTCGGAATTTCGTCCGAACGCTGCTGGGGGTCGTACGGCGCAGCGGTCATCTCCGCCAAGGCTAGGACGGCAGGATGCAGCGGCCGGTGTGGGGTGGCGGAGCCGCCGCCAGTCTTGCGGCCACGGCCTGTTGATGCACCGGCACGCTTGCGGCCGGCGGCGGCGGCGGCGGCGGCGGTGGCGGTGGGGGCTGTGGCGCCGCAAGCACCGGAAATGAACGACGCGCCGCCAGGAGATGGCGGGGATGTCAGTGCCAGTGTCGCAAGGAGGGCCAGGGCCTGTACGGCGGTCCTTTCCGTTGCGCTGCTGCCGCCGCCGCCGCTTCTGCCTGCAGCCCGGTAGCAGCTGGCACTGCTACTGCTCCGGCTCAAGCGCGGCCCAGGAACTTTACCGCCGCTACTGCGGCATTCAAGCCTCGTCGCATCGCGGGGATTGCTGGCGGCGCGGCGATGCCCCGCCGCTGCCGTCACCTCTTCAGAGGCGCCGCCCATCACCTGAGCGCCGCCGTCCCCAGCTGCTGGCATGTTGTCCAGGCTTTGGCCGCGGCCCGGCGGCGGCTTTAGATCCGGTGAAAGGAGCATGTCGTACGCCGACCAAGCGGACGATGCTGTACCGGGCCGCGACCCGGCCTCTGACGCGGAGTTCTCCCTCAAGCCATCGCTGATTCTGCCGTACAAGCTTGTCGCCGCCGCCGCTATGGAGGAGGCATCAAAGCTGCTGCGACGTCGCAGTGCGGCGGCGGCGCCGCCGCCGCCTGGCGGCGGCGGCGCCGCTGGCGGTCGGCCGCTAGGAGGCCGCTGCAGCGGCCATGGCACGGGACGCTGTTGCTGCTGCCGGTGCGGCGGTGTCGGAGTCGCCCGCCCCTTCTGCCCCACCACCGTTGCCGCCGCCGCTGCCCGTACTGCATGCACATTTGCTGTACTCCGTACTCCGCGTCCTGACCCAACACGCCAAGGCCGAAGCTCTGCGTCGTCCAGACGCCCGCCGCCGGCCTCGTCGTATCTTTGTCCGTACCTGCCGGGCCGCCCCGCCGCCACCCTCACGTCGTCCTCGCCACCCTCCTCCTCATCATCGTCCTCATCGTCGCCACCCCCCTCCTCCACGCTTAACACGTCACCCTCGTACATGCCAAAAAAATCCAACGCAGAATCGTCCGTACCGCTGGCGGACGATCGTACGATATGCCGTGGTACGGGAGAGTATACTCGCGCCGGAAGTCCACATGATGAAGCGGATGAGGAGGTAGCTGGCGGCGCCGTCGGTTGTAGAACAACGGCCTGCAGCCGTGACGTCGCTGCGGCGGCGGCGTCGCGGCCAGCGCCAGCTGGCGGCGGCGCTGCCGTACCCGCGGCCGCGCCAGTACTTAGAACCGCGAGCGCGGTTTGCATGCTCACTGGCATTGGCGGCGGCTGCGATGGCGACTCGCCGTACATCCCGTCACGACGTTTACCCTGGGGTGATGGAGACCTTAGGTCGACTGACTCGCCGCGAGAACAGATCCCGCCGCCGCCGCCGCCGCTGCCGCTGCGGTCAAGAGGGACTTCGAAGTGGCTGCGAGGGGCCCCGGCGGGCCCTGCTCCAAGGTCAGGGCCGCGGGCTCCGCCGCTGCCACCACCGCTGCTGCTTGCACTGCCGCCGCCGCCGCCGCCGCCGGCACCTGAGCCGTGCGTCCGTGTCGAGTTTGGCGATTGCACCGCTTTCGCCACCGCCCTGATCGCCGCAGCCGCTGCTGCCTCCATCGCCGCCGTCATCGGCTGCATGAGGTCTTCGGGATGGCAGCCGTGCATCGAGACACCTGCTGCCGTCGCCGTCGCCGCCGTCGCGCTCGAGCCTGCAACACCGTTTGGCCTTTGCAGTAGCGATGCGGCTGTGCTGGCCATCGAACGAGCGCGGAGAGACATGGCGTCGGTTGCGCCACGTGACGCAGCAGAGTACGGCGCGTACGGCATGTTATCGTTCGAGGCGTCCTGCCGCTGCCTCGCGGAGCCCCGTGACGGCGGCCTGCTGCCTTGACCATTCGTACTCGTGTATGGCGGCTCCGGCAGCGTGGGCCCCGTCGAGGGGCCCCGTCGTCCGGCAGACCTTGCGCCTTGCCGGGGTAGCAATGGATTGTACGGATTAGGCCGCGCTGTCGCGGATGTCCCGACGGCGCCGCCGGCGGACAAGGAAGCGGCGGCGCCTTGTACGGCGGCCTGGCCAGCGGTCGCACGAGCCACCGTGAAGCCCCCAGGAGCAGCTGGGCGAATGTGGGGGGGGCGTTGACCCCCTGGTTGCGGGGGACCCCCCACCATCGGATCACAGGATGGCTGCACGGGGCCGCGGGTGCAGCCGGGGGAGAGCACGGTCATGGCATTGCTAGCTGCTGGGCCGCTTGCGCGAGCCCCTGGCGAGGCGCTCGCTGCGGAGTTGTTCCCCCCGTTCAGCACTGAGAGCAGGAGCGCGGAATAGGGCTGATGCACGCAAGCCGCGTGGCTGTCCGCAGGTCCGGGTGGCTTGTAGCTGTTCGGTGGCTTCCATTGCACTCCTGAGCTTGCGGGCTGAGCGGGGGAGCTCGTTCCCGGGCCCGCAGGTACGCCTCGCAGGTCCAGGTGCAGGACGCCGTTCCCGCGTCTAAGTCTTTGTGGAGATGGTGGACCACTGAATGAAGATTGGCCATTGCCAGCGGTGTAAGCCGCGTCTAGTACCCATTGCGCCTGAGGCATAGGATGGACCCTCCAGTTCGGCACAATGCATGTATTGACGAAGCTCAGCTGAGAAACGTATCGATTTATGGACTAAAGCGATGTCAGGTAAAGCGGATGAGACATAGTCAAGGGGTTAACCCTCGCGGGGATGCATAAAAACAGACTTGCCGGTGCAGAAGAATTAGCAGAAAGCCGATCTGCATCATGTTTATTTGTGATTAAAGTATAGAAGTTCGCTATTGTAAGCTAATGCGAGGCTGAAACTGTAAAAGGATTGACGTCGGACTACAAAGCGGGTTTCCTCAAAACGCGAATTGTCGTGTGACACAGATGAAGCTTTGTAAGCATAGGATATGCTTGGGTTGACAAAACATGCAGAATATCTGAAGGACCCGTGGGACACGTTACAAAAGGTTAGGGATATTATAATGGACCCAGCGGACTACCTCTCCATGGATAACACTCTGTTATACGACCAGTACAAGCAGCTTTTACAAATGTCCATTCGTTGAGGTGTGCATCGTAGCCGCTTCGTAGTTTAGGTGCTGGCAATCCAATCTCCTCTTTGCGCCGAGGCTTTATCGGTCTTCCTTTCACTGCATCTCCAACAGCCGGACATGCAGAGACGCCAAACCAGTTACGGGGAGCACTTGTCGAAATTGGACACGAGCGGCGCACGAGCCCGACTGACAAAGGCCTTCCCAGTTCGGAACCCTTTCAAACTTGCAGTCCCTGCAGTCCGTAAACAATCCTATCACAGCGGACCTCATGAAAGAGATCGTCGTCGCACATCGCATCCCATGTTGTATGTCTGAGCCGAAGGCCTAAAGCCGAACCGCGCAAAACAGCTGCGACATTGGCTACTGCCTGCACACACTGTTCTACACAAAAGAGGGGGGTCCTTGTGAAGCAGCTGGCCGCGTTTCCAAGGCCCGTATGATTTTGGAATGTAAGGTGTATGATTACTTTTGCGCGTAATAGAATGTGGCCCGGCTGGAGATTAAAGCAGTGCAGTGGCATATTGGAATGTGAGAATAGCTTCGAAGCAGTTTAGTGGAAGGTGTTTACAGGTCGTCTAGTGCACGTCGCATTGTACATGCAGTCATGTCGTTGCGCGCGCGTATGCAACAACACCAGGTAGCTCAACCAGAATAACAAGCAGAGTACCAAAGCAACAGCGCGTGTACAGGACACGTCGCGTCTGTCCTTTGCTATGATGTAGGAACGAAGAAGAAGGCGTAGGTTCAATTTTCCTATCGCGCGTGGAAGGCCATGCCAGAACAGGCAACATGAAGGGTGAACTCGCACGCTACCAACTTGCACCCGAGCACGCGACATAGAAAGGAGCGCAGCGGGCCCCCCCCTTTCCCCCAACACTCACGCAATAGACCATCCCAAGCGCTGCTGTCCGTATGGGCAGCAGCCGCCGTTTTCACACGAGTTAAGGTCGGACATGTATGCACCGTGAATGAAACCTTAAGTGCGATCGTGCCCAAATACAACAGCACTGCTCAACGTCCAGAAGGCTAGCGCTGAAATCGTCGGACCCTATCCGTCAAGCGTCAAGTGTCCAGTTGCTGTGTGGGCTATGCGAGCGCCCTTGCTGCCCATTGCTTGCTTGCGCCAGCTGCCGTCCCCCCTGCCCGCTTTCCAGCTGCCCGGCCATGTGGCCACAGGGTCCGTATCTGTCACTCCCCGCCCCTGCATGCCTCCACTTCCGCCCCGCCATCCCGCCAACCTCACATCCACCCTCCCGCCCTCCATGACCAGGCCTGCATGGTGCAGTAGGCGAGGCGGTGCCATTGTACAGGTATCTGATCCTCTGCTTCTGCATTATGGCAGGCTGTTGTAGTACAGGGATGTACATGATGCATGTTATGCAGTGGTTGCAGGCTGTGGGGGAAGCGTATGCTCGGGGGATCTGCCTGGTGTGCTCCTAGATAGGCCACAAGCCTTGTACAGGCTGTGCAACCTACCTGGGATGTGCTGGATTGACCAGGAGTTCATGGTGCAGACGGCGAGCCAGCGTCTTATACAGGCGTCTGCCCTCTGCCGCTGCATTCCGGCAGGCTATTGTGTAAACGGTTGCGTGGTGGTGCGGCAACATGCAGGATGGAAACAGAATCGTGCTCACGGACTAAGAGTTGCTGTCGTGTGCTGCAGGTATGCACCAATGCGCCAGCGGGATGCAGAGTGCCTCCAACCAGGCGTATGCTTTTCGGCAGCCACGCAGCTGGCCGAAGCCATCTACACCATGGCTACGAAGTACTTTCTGTGCATGGCAGCGCTCAGGCAAGTTGATGCGCAATGTAAGTAGGGCATCCTAGGCATGTTTGGTGGGCTGAGATGGCATGGCGGCATGGTTTGAAGCTGCTGCATGCACCTTTTATGCTCATGGTTGCAGGGAGAAGCTGGTGACACCAAAGGCTGCATGCTATCTGCTGGGCGGCACACCTTTCAACCTGGTGGCACGTACAAGCAATGAAGGGGTGCAGCTGCACTTGGATGGAGGAGACGGGCCGTTGTCAGTGATTCTGTGGTTGCCGGCTGGGTGCGGGGCCCTGCAAGGCGGGCCCTTTTGTGTGCCTAGTCTAGGCCTGCAGCTGCTGCCCCTCAACATGACCCTGGTGGTGCTGGCAGCTGGCGCTTTGGAGCACGGCACCATCGCGCCAGTGGTTCCGCTCGGCAGTGAGGCAGTTCAGATGGGCTTGTCTGCATTTGTGCGGCCCTGGGACGTGCAGCAGCTGTTGGTGCGCGCAATAAAGGCTGGCGGGTCCCAGGAGCTGCAAGCCATGCAGGTGCAGGTGCAGGAGCGGCTAATGCAGGCAAAGACTGTTTGCAGCCGTGCTGCGGTGCACGAGGCTGCCAAGGAGGAGCGTGCAGCTGTGGATGCACTGCCGGGTGGCACTGCTGTGGACGGGTTGTTTGTGGGGTGGCAGGCACCTAGTGCGGCGGTCGGGCTGCAACGTGACAACTTCCTTACGTGGCGCATGTACTGATGTAGGCAGGGACAGTCTGCACGTTGGTTACATAATGATGCCTGTCTGAATGTGCACATAGTGATGCATCTGTCTACATGCCGAGGTGCTCTGCAAATGGCAAGGCATCAGTGGTGCCCATGTAGGGTACCCGCTGGCGGCTCGGTTCCACCGGAGGGTGCAAGGTTGGGCTGTCTGGCTGACCCACAGGGTGCACCTGCATGAGGTCTGTTTCCTGCGGATTTCGAGTGGTGTTCACAGCTGGCTGCGATGGCCCGGCGGCTGGTGCTGTTGTGTTAGATATGGGATGTGTTGTCCATGGCAAAACGACGGGGTTGAACAAGCTTGGTGACAGGGAGCCGATGACCTTGATCAGGCGGCTCTCCGTGACACGCGACAGCATGACGTACAGCAGTCCCGGCGTGAAAGCATTCCGGGCATGGATGATGGTGTGTGTGGCGAGGGTCGCACCCTGCATACAGCATGAGCAATGCAGGTGGGATTGTGGGGGTGCGAATGGCGCGGTTAGCAGTGGGTGTTTGGACGAGTTGTCACGACATTTTAGCGTCACGTTCATTTTACCGTCTTTTATAATCGTCTTAGGTTATAATCGGTGTGAATACGCGAATTTCGTGTATTATCGTGTAAGGTGTTTGGTTCTTATCTTACACTTCGCTGATGGACTTATGGACGAGACGAGAATGTACGCTCGTTCGCGTATGTTTATGTACTTTACTTGTTAATTGTTTATTTCTTGTGTGAATGTTCTGTCACACGGGTTATAAGGTGTTTCACTTTTGTCATTTGTGGACTATACGTCGTGGTCGTACTCGAGGCTTATCTTTTGAGGGCCTCCTGTGATCGACATCGTGACTTCGGTATTTATAGCCGGCAGCGAGCTTGGAAAAGTCGCTTTACGGCTCATGATCGGAACATTGTAAAGTTCTCTGAGCTAGACAACAAGCCCTGTGCGGACCTCCCTTTTCGTAAGCCGCATAAGTAACTTCCTTCCACCAGCCGAACTCCTGTGTGGGCCACTCAACGCCCATATCCTTCACGCCGGGCAGACTCAGTGGGTAAGGTAAATCTTTGCCGCTGTTGATTAATTGCCTGGAGGGAACTCTGGCCCCTTGCGCAGGTTGCCATTTGTTTAGTGTCACTACTTGCCCTTTTTGTCGTCAAGTCAGCACTTCAAGCTACCTGCAGGACTTCGCCAAGCCACCCTGCATTCCATAGCCGTAACCCTAAGTCTGCCGTACGCACGTGTTTTGTTCGGTGCTACAGTCATGTGACGCGACAGAGTGTGGACATGTGGCTGTCCATGCATGTAAGGCCAGGAAACTTGCAGCAACTGCAGCACACACCTGTGCACGGTGTGTTGTTATTGCCCATGCAAGACATAGGGGGAAGGTGGACTTGAAGTATCGGATACCGTTGAGGATCTTATAGCGCGTGACACTGTGCCCCAGCGTGATGGTCTTCCCGGTGGTAGCTAGCAGGACCTTGACTTTGTCAACATGGCCATCTGCATCGAACTCAAGGTCAGCCACAGTGCCAGTAGCGCCATTGGCGGCTCCGCGGGCCAGGGAGACATTGTCGGTTAGGCTGACGCGCGCGCCGACAGCCACGCATGGCAGCATCCGAAATGTGGGCTCTTGGAGCCATTGGTCCAGGGCCAGCATGGCGTCTGGGGCAGTGATGTTGTGGGACAAGGGACAGGGGCATACTTCACCGAGAGTGGTGCCTTCCAGGCGCCACAGAATGGCGAGGTTGTGCTGCAGCACGTCCTCCCGATGGGTACACAGCACCGTGGTGTCTGCGTCACATGTGGCCGCCACCTGTGACTCGGTGATGAAGTGCATGTTGTCCGGTGAGCAAACCCCAAACACAGCATCCAGCTCCGCCTGGGTGGGCGCGTGCTGGCGGATGATGTCAAGCAGGCTGCTGTATGCCGGGTCCTTTGCATGCCGTACTGAGACACTCAGGTTTAGACGTGTGGCGGTGTGCCAATAGGGCGAGGCTGAGATGTGGCATCGTCGG